TCCAGGAGTTTGAGGTTGCTGTGAGCTAGGCTAACACCAGGGCACTCTGTCTAGCCTAGGGCAAAAGAGTGAGACTCTGTCTAAAAAAATATCAAAACAAAAACCTGCTTAACCAATGTCTGTGAAACACTGGAACCCCTCCCTTTCATTTTTCTGAGGGTGGGGGAGCAAGTAAAAGCTTTGTAAAGTGCTAATCATTTTTGTCTTTTCTTTTTTAATGTCTATCTTTCACTATTTAGTAATTCCATATCTAATTCTTTTTTTTTTTTTTGAGGCAGAATCTCGATCTGCCACCCAGGCTAGAGTGCCATGGCCTTAGCCTAGCTCACAGTAACCTCGAACTCCTAGGTTCAAGCCAACCTCCTGCCTTAGCCTCCCAAGTAGCTGGGATAAGTACCCATTTATGTTTTTTTGTTTTATTTATTTATTATGTATTATTTATTATTTTTGAGTAGAGGTCTTATTTTGTACCCTCAGTAGAATACCATGGCATCACAGCTCACAGAAACCTCAAACTCTTGGGCTCAACCTCAAACTCTAGCCTCAGCCTCCAAAGTAGGTGGGACTACAGGCACCTACCACAGTGCCTGGCTGTTTTTAGAGACAGGGTCTCACTCTAGCTCAGGCTGGTCTCAAACTTATGAGGTCGGGCAATCCATCAGCCTTGGCCTCCCAGAGTGCTAAGATTACAGGTGTGAGCCACCACACGTCTAGCCTTAATTTTTCTATTTTTAGTAGAGATGGTCTCACTTTGCTTTGGCTGTTCCGAAACTCATTAGCTCAAGCCATCCTCCCGCCTCAGACTCCCAGAATGTTAAGGTCACAGGTATGAACCACTGAACCTAGTCTAGTATGTGATCTTTTTTTTTTTTTTTTGAGACAGAGCCTCAAGCTGTTGCCCTGGTTAGAGTGCTGTGGCATCACAGCTCACAGCAACCTCCAACTCCTAGGCTCAAGTGATTCTCCTGCCTCCGCCTCCCAAGTAGCTAGGACTACAGGCACCTGGATATCTTTTGTTTGCAGCCATCATTGTTGTTTGGCAGGCCTGAGCAGGATTCAAACCCGCCAGCTCAGGTGTATGTGGCTGGCACCTTAGCCGCTTGAGCCACAGGTGCCAAGCCATAGTATATAATCTTAAAAATGCCCCTCTTGGCCCCTCAGGGTGCCTCACGTCTGTAATCCTAGCACTCTGGGAGGCCAAGGTGGGTGGATCGTCTGAGCTCATGAGTTCAAGAGCAGCCTAAGCAAAGTGA